ATTCCAATTTTGCCTGTCAGATTCAAGTTTCTTCCTTTTTAAGAGGGTTTTAAATTGTGAAGGTGTTTCTCTCAAGCTTTTGTAAATTTGTTCAGTCTCATTTTTGTTAGCTGATCTGATAGACAGGGTTTTAGCCTCCTATATTATGCATTGAACCATGCTTGTAGGCTTTAGTAGGTTCTGCATGGATCAGATAAGGTTTAAGGTAAGTAATAATTTGCTGATAACCCTCTATTGACTCCATAGTACATTTGAGGATCTTATCTCTACAAGTTTCCAATATGTTTTGGAATTTTAAAAAGTGTGTTAATACTAATGATGTCCTGACAAGGGCCCTTTCAAAAACCCCTATATTCCAGAATATCAAGGCAGAAAATCCCACAATATCTGCTTTGAACTGGGTTATCTGAGTCCACACTAAGATAATGTGGGATTTTCTGATTTGATATTCTGGGATATAGGGCTGTGTGGAAGGGTCCTGAGTGTTTGAGGAAGTAGATGCATCCAAACTCCCCCAGGTACAGCAAGAGGGAAGGCATTGCCTCCAATTGTCCCAGTTTGACAGGGACCGTTCCAGTTATTTTCTGTCATTCCACTTTTTCAGATGATTTTAAAATTATCTAGTTTCTGTCTCTCCCTCCCCCATCTTCCCTAGTTTACATCAATTGATGCAATGTTTCAAAGTGCAAATATAATGTGCACTGAGGGAGATGGGGGAAGTGTTCCCTGGTAACACCAACATCCAGCTGTTTATGTGACCTGTTCACATTAAGGAAATGGCAAAGTTTTTTTTACATTTTTTCTAAGGGTCCTTCCATACAGCCATATAACGCAGAATATCAAGGCAGATAATCCACAATATCTGCTTTAAACTGGATTATCTGAGTCCACACTGCCATATAGTCCAGTTCAAAGTGAACTTTATACTGGGAGATCTGGCACTTACAGTTTTCAACTCTGCCATTTTTACTACTGATGTGCCCACAGCTGTTTCTGTCACAACTACTATTACTCTATTTCCACCCATCTAGTTTTCCTCTTGTGTTTGTTATTAGCACTTGCTGCTGTATTGAAAGAGGAAACTAAATTTAAGATCTGGGAGTGTCATAAAAAGTTTTATCTATCTCCTGTGTAATGCTTCAAAGATACCACTGAAACCACACCTTGAGATTGAACTTTCTTCTCCACCTGACCCAGCCCATTTTATAGCACCTTTCCGAACTCACATGGAATGTAATTGGGTTTTCATTGAGCATCTTTCATCCTCCAAATCATTGGATTGCCATGCATTGTTGACTTCAAGAGGACTGATTTACTGATGCAAGGAGGGTGGTACAAACTATATCATCTGGAAAAAATACACCAAAGGCTCCTGTGTTACTTCTGTATATTATTTCTACAGCACTTTGCTATCAATAGACTTGGCATCTCTTCATGCCACCATGAAAACACAACTCCTTGAAGCTGAAGCTTAGTGCAGATTGGCTTGCCAGAAGCTGTTGCCTCCCTCTTTAATTAGAGCTCTGGGGAGATGCTGTGGCTTCAGTGGGAGGGCATGGTATGAAATTCTCACTGTGTACATGTGAACACTTGGGCCATCCCTGGGTTTGGCACACTTTTAAGAAAGGGTTTTGTATTTCATGAAACAAAATCTTCCTTCCATGTTTCCCACAGCTGTAAACTGTAGTTTGTTGTCACCTGTCATAGCATCCCAGGGGTTCTTCAACAACTTTATTTTTAATTCTCCTGTAATTTGATTCTTCCTAGTATTTAAACCAGTTATTTATTGTTAATAATTATCCACATTAAGCTTTGAACCGGTTCGCAGATATAGAAGTTCTTACAGGTTTTCATTTTTGTCAAGAGTCTATAGGAATGAGCTATTAAGCCATGAGAACAGAAGAAGACCTGTGTTGGATCAGTCCACTGGTCTATTTAATTCCACATTCTGTTCAAGCAATGGTTGATCCATTCTCCACAAGAAGTTCACCAGTTGCTCATGAGCGTAACTCAATTCTTCATTTTATGCTCCTTGAATGCTGTCTCCATACCAGTTTACTTGTCCAAACGTATCTCCTGCTATGAACCACCTAGGAGGTTAAGATCATATGGGGAGGCCCTGCTCTTAGTCCCACCTCCTTTGCAAGTATGACTGGTACGGACGAGAAACAGGGTCTTCTCAGTGGTAGAACTCCCTCACTACCAAAATTAGATCAGCACCCTCCCTTTTGGTCTTCAGAAAGACAGTAAAGGCATGGATGTAGGATCAAGCCTTTGAGCAGTAAGCAAAGCAAGAAACATACAAGAATATGTGCAATTGACATTTGGAAAGGCCTTGGACTTCGGCTTCTGGGTTAGGTGATTTTAATGTTTATATTAATATGTTTTTAATTCCATGTTTAAATGTCTAGATGTTGTTGCTTCTCTATTTAATATGGTTTAATTTAATTTATAATTATATGTTTCAGCTGCTTTTATACTAGGTTTTTTATGTTATAAGACATTTGTTGGAAACTGCTTTGAGTCCCCCTAGGAGAAAAAAGTGGTATATAAATGAAGTAAATAAATAAATAAATAAATATACTTTCAGTGAATGACCCGTGGATTCTAGTGGTGTACGTCTGCATGTTAGGCATTTTGGATCTGTAGATATTATCATAAAAACAGGTATTTCAGATTGAATGAAATATTCTCTGTCACATTCTCAGAAATGCTTCCCAGCTTTCCAGTCACCTAATATTTATTTGTAACCTCCCAAATATATCTTAGATTTGCATGCCAATTGCTCCCTAAATTGAACCTGCTTTAATGCCTTGTGGGAGAAATGAACCATGTTGACAGTAGCTTGCATAATATCACTATTCAGGTATTCTCTTTGTCCTCCCACTGAGCTTGTCCTTTTAGTCAGTTCCTAATAAGTTGTTAAAGAGGAACGCCTTCACACTCACCTGTTTGTAATACAATACTTTGAAGTTACTAAAGTACAGACTGCACACCAGTTTCTCCAGTAGTGATATAGTTGGGCCTCCATATGCATTCACAACTAGAAAACAAATTCAAAAAGGGGTACATTTTACTACGCCATTACATATATTGTATTTATTGTGTCAGAAGCAAATTGAGAATACAGTTATAATGTATAAAAACCACAAACAAAGTTTTTAAAATCTTGGCATTATACTGGTTTGCTCTTCTCCACACTGGGATGTCATGGACTCTTGTGGTGCCTGACCATAGTCTGTTCAGCACCTTCCAGGTTGCCCGGTCTTCTGTGTACCTTCTGTGTACCCAGTCTTCTGTGTAGCCAGGAGGAAGTTTCTCATCTGGTATCAGCCACTGATTGAGGTTCCGGGTTTTAGCCTGCTACTTTTGGGCTCTTGCTTGCTGAGATGTTCCTGTGAGTGTCAATGTAGATTTTAGGAAGTTATTTCTTGATTTAAGTCATTGGCATGCTGGCTGATATATGAACAGAAGATGGGCCAGAGATGTCAATGCCTTGGTCCTTTCATTGCTGGATGCTAGTTCCCGGTGGATATCAGGTAGTGCAGTACTGGCTAAACAGTATCATTTCTCCTGTGGTGTTGGGTGTAGACATCCTGTGATAATGTGGCATGTCTCATTAAGAGCCATATCCACTATTTTAATGTGGTGAGAAGTATTCCGCACTGGCAGGGGCGGCTCAACCCATTACGCAAAGTAAGCATTTGCAGTATAGTTGATTTTGCCCAGAGCGCTCTTGAGGTGCTCTTGGGGGAAAATAGACCTTGACATATGCGAGTTGTAGTTACTGGGATGTATAGTTCACCTAAAATCAAAGAGCATTCTGAACTCCACCAATGATGGAATTGAACCAAGTATGGCACACAGAACTCCCACAACAGAGAAAAAATATATATCAGTGATTGGTTGGGGCGGGGGGCAAAATACTGTTTGCTTATCGTTGAAAATTACCTAGGGCCTCCTCTGCGCACTGGGCACACGTATTCAGCAGCAGAGTAGCAAAGCACAAGGGCAGATGTTTTCACTGTATCTGGTTGTGATCCCCAGGTTTCAGTTATGTCTTCATGTATTCCTATTGCCTTCAACTCCACTACAATGGACCATTGGTCTCCTCTAAGGTTTGGTTCCAGGACTTACATGTATATTAATCTGCTCATGTCCCACTATATATAATACATCAGAAGCGACTTGCAGAATTATATATAGTGGGACCTGAGCATTTTGATATCCATGTGAATCCTGGAACCAAACCTTAGAGGAGACCAAAGTTCCATTGTAGTGGAGAAAGTTGAAGGCAATAGGAATAGATGAAGACATAACTAAAAGTTGGATTGACACAACAATGGAAGTTATGGCCCTGAGTTTCCAAGACCTGTGCAAGGCTAATGGTGACAGGATACTTTGAAGCTAACTTATGAATAGGGTTGCCATAAGAACAAACTGACTTGATAACATACAACAACACATATTTTAATGAATCATTTTAATGTGTTTTAATCTTTGTCTTTTAATATATGTGCGTTTATGTTGCAATCTGTGTATTTGAAGTATGTTGTACTGCACTTCAAGCCTTGAAGAGAGGCACGTAAGAAATAAAATGTATTACTACTACTACTACTACTACTACTACGACTACGACTGGAAATCTTCATCACTCATTAATCAATGCTGTTCTTTCTCTGAGCTTGCATTCAAAGCCAACTTTCCCTTAATAAGCCTATGACATGCATAAGTGTGGAGCACAGGGCTGATGCCTTCTAAATAGATTGTTTTTACGCAACTCATTCAAAACACTTAGGTTTCATTGTTTTTTTTTAAAAAAAATTCATTTGTAATGAGTTGGGAGATTGCAACAATTGAAATGTTGATTGATGATTTAATTGTGCATTCTGAAGAAGTTCATCTAGATGAAAAGTAGTTCCCAATCATCAAGGAGACAGACGTTCCCGTGTCACAATGTAAACAAGGTCACATGTACCTTTTAGAAGAACTCAGTGTCCAGTAAAACTAGTTCTCTGTCTGGGTGAGTCAGACTCAGAACTAGTTTGCCGGTACCAAAAGGATGCTCTGCTTTCACTCTAGCAACCAAAAGGATCAAAGAGGGAGCAGTGCAAACACGGAGAAAACAGAGCAATATTGACTGTGCTGTAAGTAAATTTCTCAACTAGACTGGTATTTGTAAGTGTTGGACAATTAACTATTCACGAAAATGCTTGTTTGAAATGTAGGCTTATCTGTAAATTTCTAAGTTTGCATAGCAGTTAATCTAATATTAGGAAGATTATTTCATTTTAATGCTATTCCAATATTTTAAGACGAGTTCAATTATTGGAGGCAATGATCACATCTACACTGGAAAGTTAAAATCTGGCCCAGAGAAACCCTTAGTCCAAAGATGATGCCTACAGTGTCTGTCTGGACAAGGGAGAAGTCCAAAATGGACCAGATCCACTGGCTAAACTGGCACAAAGCTGATAGGAGTTTCCAGCAAACTCTGGAGTTTCCTGTAAACTCTGGAGTGGAGTGCCTAAAGTGGGACAAAGTCAAATTAAGGCAAGAAAACCTGGGATACTCACTGGAAGTTGCAGTGTGGCATGGATACAGTGATGGATTCAGGTTTTCTGTCTATTGCAGACAATAGACAGTCCAGGTTTTCTGTCTATTGCAGACAAGCCCTACAATGACTGTTTCAATGTAATGAAAATGTGAAAGTTAGGGAGCAGGGAATATAAACAATAACTGAAATAATATACAAAAGAATAGAGAAAGAGAACAATAAAATAGAGACTAAAGGGAAGAAGAGGCATGTATTTTGATTTCAGAAAGAGAGAGAGGGAGAGGGAGGGGGGAGGGAGAGGGAAATATAAAGGAATATAAAAATTGGTAAAGAACACAGAAAGGCGTAGCAGGGATATTTGCATCTCCAGCAGTCGATCTGGACAAGGCAATATTTTGTGACATATTCTGAGCACGAAGCTTTAATCAAAGTAAATATAAAAAAAATGCCAAAACAATTTCAGGAAATCTGAAGGGGGCTTTTTTTTTTTTACAGAAAGAAGCTAGAATCTTTTATGCATTTAAGTACTTAGATAAGCAATTTATTCTGGCCTGTCTCTCTCAATCCATATTGAAACATCATTCCACAGTGGTCTAACTTGTCAGCAGAATAGACCTTCCCTCCAAATTGCACATTTAGAATCAATTGGGGTAAACTGTGGAGGTGACACAGATATTTGACCTGAACGGGATCTGCCAACAGTTTGTTTATTTTAACCTCTTTTATTTTAACCTCTGTTATACCGAGCGTTGTATGTTGTATGACTATGTGTTAAATGTGTTATGTGTTAAATGTGTTATGTGTTAAATGTTTTGATACGGCCAATAGGCCAATCAATAAAACATATCTATCTATCTACCTTCCCTCCAAGAAATTCATCCCCTGTAAAATAGTATTGAAATCATGATTACCTTATATACCCATGTATAGATCTAGAAATTTTAGCCAAAAATCAATGCCCCAAAATGATAAATGCTAGTAATGTGCCTTTTTAAAAAGGAGCATCCCTTATTTCAATAAGGTGGCAAAAAATGACGTTTCTTGCCCTTTTGAATGCCAGAATGGGTGGGAAAATTGTAATGGTGGCCAGGGATGTCTGGTGCTCTGAAGACGCATTGGTGCTTTCCTCTGTCCACAGAATGACCCTTGACTTAGCCACAGTTTCTTTGGCTTGCTATCAACAGGTCATATCCAAATCCATAATGCTGGCCCCCAAACTGGCCCTCAACTTATACACAAGCTCAACTTATACATGAGTATATACAGTGAGTAATTATTACAAATACACCATTAGGTTGAATGATGTTTACACCAGGTCTGCAACAGTCCGACCAAGAGAAATAACTTATTTAGGTACTTAGTTAAGTATAAGCTGCGACTGAATTCTGGCAAATAAGAACAAGGAAGATATAGTGTTAGCTTTGGCAGAATTAAAATATAGATAAAGCATAATGAAGATTGGGGTGTTTTGTGGTTTCTAGGCTGTATGAACATGTTCTAGCAGCATTTCCTCCTGACGTTTCAGCTGCATCTCTGGCTGGCATCTTCAGAGGATATCAAGAAGATCCTCTGGCATTTTTGAAGGCTTCCTGTGATGGAGAAGGAAAGGGAAACATTGGCTCCAACTCTGAAGAAATACTTCCTATGTTTTTCATTTTCATTCTTAATTATGAGAATGTTTAGGGCATCTGCTCTTCTATTATTATGTTTTATTATTCCTGTTAGTTATGAAACAATTTCTCTCAGTTGTGAAAACCACCTGAAATATACATTTTTTTCATTATGTCCTACAATTTTCTATCAGTCATTTACTACACAAATTGAGCAAGCGTATATGTTATGGCAGTTAACAACCACAATACTTTTACATCCTCTTGCCAATGGCAGAGGCATGGAATTGTATGTAACTAGTTCAATCTCACAGTAGCTTCATGAAATACCTTATGTTGAGCAAGGGTGTCATCCACTGGTTGGAACTTGTAATAACATTATAGCTAGCTACTAGTAAGCACAGGAAGTCCACAATTCAGTTTTTGAAGTAGCAGAAAATATTTTCTCAGATTATGTTCTGCCTGCACCAGGGAAAATAATATTTATTATTTATTTATTTATTTATTTATTTACCATATTTGTATACCGTCTGTCTCAGCCTGAAGGTGTCTCAGGGCAGTTTACAGTCAGCAACAATTTGATGCCCAAATACCATAAAGTACAATTTAAAACAATTACCATATATATAAAAACCATACAGAACCAATGAAAAACATATATCAACAACGTCTCCTTATTACAGCCTACTATAGACAGCTGTTGCAAATATTATCAAAATACTGTATAAGAACAAAGGGTAAGAGAAGCACAGAATAATTATTTTGTCTGACTTTATTTTGTCAGACTTGCAATACTTATGACCTCAACAGACAGGCTACTTTGCCCGTTGTGTACTACTTCTTCTCTTTTGCCATAGAGCCCATTACACAATGCACATGTACTTCCAGCCAGGCTTTGTGGTGAAAGGGAAGAACAAGTGGCATATACCACTGCCACAGCAACATGGGGGGCTTCCCGTGTTGCCTTTAAAACAGTGGGGGGAGGGGGGAAGCCAAGCGGCAGATGCTTCCCCCGATGGGATGGGGTTCCACGTATGTTGGGCAATAAGGAGTGTGGGGCAATGGGTTCATGATGTGTGGTGTATCCCAAATATAATGTGACAAGGTCCAAAGTCACCTAGTTTAAGTATAATATTAGCAATCTAGAGTGTGTCTATATACCAGTAAGTGGGGCAAATAAAATGAGAAGCTTGGAGAACAGATCCCATGATGAAAGGTTCTGGGAGGAGCAGCAGGCCAGGAACATGAATCACATGACTTAGTGTGGTTATTGTTAGTGAGCTTCATTTTTCCTTGGGATTAAACATTTTGGTAGTCTATAATGAAATGTGGTAGACCACATAGCATGAGAAATAGAAGCTATCACTCTGTTGCTAAGGTTCAAGAACCTGTGTTGCCAGGGTTCAATGTTCCAAGAAGCTGAGATAACCTCCAGCTAAGAAGAATTTGATAAAAATAATGTGTCAATTAGAATTAACACCTCTCTCTTTCTCTTGTTTTGCTAAAGGGGCAAAATGAAAATCTTATTCTTCCCTTTCTTTTTAATTGCGGGGAGCCTTGCTAACAATCCTTACCCAGACAGTTCTGGTCATCCCAACAATAACAACAATTGGAACAACAACTACCGAAATGAAATATATGGTAATCGTGAAAATCAGCCCAACCAAAGAAATCGCCAGACGCCAAACCAGGTGCTAGTCAACAGTAATTCTGACTTTGCGTTTAAGTTCTTCAGAGAGGTTTCTTCCAACAGAGGTCAGCAGTATAATTCCAGAAAGAAGAACATTGTCTTCTCTCCCATGTGCATCTCCTCTGCCTTTGCCATGCTGGCCTTGGGTGCCAGGGCCAACACCTTAGATCAGATCCTTAGAGGACTGGATTTTAGGCCATCAGAAATCCAGGAAAAAACAATCCATGAAAGCTTCCATGACCTCATCTACATGCTAAACAATGTAGGACCCGGCCTCCAGATGGAGATGGGCAATTGCCTCTTTGTAGAAAAGAAGCTGCATCCACAAGAGCAATTCTTATATGGACTCAGAAATATCTATGGAGGAGACATTTATCTGGAAAACTTTAAGAACACGGTCGAAACGGAACAGCACATCAATAATTATGTTGAAAGGAAAACCCATGGGAAGATTGCCAAGCTTGTTGATGGGGTGGACCCAATTACTGAAATACTATTGGTTAGCTATATGTATTTGAAAGGTAAGACAAGATTGTGATCTTATCTGCAGATAATGTTAGATGCTTATCACTACATGAAACCCTGCCCTAAGTAAAACCCCAATTCTTCTAACACCAAGGACCAAGGGTGGGATTAAAAATGCTGGAATTTTCCAAACTGTCCTCTTCTCATTCTCTTGGACCCACATCAAGAATTCTCATTCCTTCTTGTTGTCTCTAGAGACTTAAAAATTATATCAGCAATAATAATTTCAGTATTGCAGTATCCTAGGGCCCATCTACACTGCCAGATAATGCAGTGTAGAGGGCATATTAGCCTGGGACCTCCAAATGACACCCCATGCAAATGTGATTTAATCTGGGATCAATCTGTTAATCTAGGTTTATTTCAGGTTTAAAAACATCAGCAAAGGTTCAGATCTTCCAGGAAGCTCCAGCAAGATCTGGACCTTTGCTAGTCCCATGGCTGTGAAGTGTGAGATTGCTATCAGAGATTGCCATGGGTGATCCCCAATGGTAGTCTTCATGGCCATGCTACTCTCCCAGGGATCAGGCAGCCAAGGGGGTGGGTGTGGGTGGGATGTGCCATTTTCTTTTCTCTGCACCTTGTTTAGCCCTGAAACTAAAGAAAAAGCATGCTTACTCATGCAGGAAGCTTCCCTGTAGTTCCGTGATTCTCAAATATGAGGCTATGGAATTTTGGAGAGCGAAGGGGGGATTCAGCACATGTGGGAGATCTGACCAACAACCAGCTATCAGCTAATGAGTGGCTGCAAATTTTTAATGCTGTTTCATGTCCCATTTTGACCTATGGAGAAGGTCTCCTTGCCAGACAGGCCTCTACCAAGAGACCATTTCCAGGGACTATGAGAAAGGATGGGAATTCCCTTCTCACTGCTGTTAGAGCAATTTGGGGTTTTGCTGGGATGGGTTTCATGCATGCTCTTTCATTAATATGCATTGATTTCAATGAAAGAGAGCAAACAATTTCAGAAAGAAGTTCTTCAGCTGAATCATACTCAGTCTCAGAAAAGAATGGTTTTAAACTAAAACAAGGAAAATTAGAGATTATGGTTAAAAAGACTGAAGTTATTGCTATATTTAATGATCTCCATTTGCAAAGTAAAGAAAGCCAATATTGCTCAAAATTATCTAGGCATGTTTAGCCTGTAGAAGAGAAGGCTGTGAGGAGACATGATGGCCATGTATAAAGGTGTGAGGGGAAGTCCAAGGGAGGAGGGAGCAAGCTTGTTTTCTGCTGCCCTGGGGACTATGATACAGAACAATGGCTTCAAACTACAGGAAAGGAGATTCCGCCTGAACATTAGGAAAAGCTTCCTAACTGTGAGAGCTGTTCAGCAGTGGAACTCTCTGCCCTGGAGTGTGGTGGAGGCTCTTTCTTTGGAGGTTTGTAAACAGAGGCTGGATAGTCATCTGTCGGGGGTGCTTTGAATGCAATTTTCCTGCTTCTTGGCAGGGGGTTGGACTGGAGCGGATGGCCCATGTGGTCTCTTCCAACTCTATGATTTTATCTTTACTAACTTTAATAAAAACCTATTTGAATAAGTTCATTTAAGGGAGTGGGATGAAGCATTGACTTTGAATGGAGCATAAGGAATTAAAAAATTATTAGATTTTAAGAAATCAGACAAATTCTGAAGTTCTAACTTCAGTTGGGTATGTAGATTTAAGAATTGAAAGATCTTGTTGTGGACTGAAAGGTTGTTATTCAGTTACAAGAACTGAGGTATGGAGGATGATTAAGAAAAATGAGAAAACATTAAATTAAAACAAAGAAACCACCCTAGTAGGTGACCCATCAGTAGAATCAAAACAATAAAACTCTTCCTGGATCATGCTATTCCTGACTGGATATGAAGATTGCATGTTAGAGTAAATATTTATTTGAAACACACATACTCAACAAGAAAAACATCCAAAGATACTTGAAATAATAGAAATTACAGTATCTCTAGTTTCAATTGCATTGTAAATAATATATAACAAGAGAAAAGGAGGAAGTGGACAAAGGAAAGCCGGAAAAGATAGGGACCATTTCTAATAATGGGATTTTGTTTTTAATGCCACCCTTCATTGTTTTGTATTGTGGTGAAATTAATTCCTTTGACACCTTCATCTGAGAACATGGGATTAAAGTTGCTTTGTTAGCTATTTAGAGCAGTAGGCATTTAACGCTTTTATAGTTTGAGTGATTGATTAATTATAGACATAATGCAGCTACTTGTTCTTTTCACACGTCTAGTATCATAGCACTTCAAAGCACTAATGAATGAATTCCCAGCAACATACCTGTTAATCATGAAAGCATACCATAGTTATTCCTATATAACAGATTAGAAAACAATGGGTGTTTAGAGAAATTAAGTGGCTTGCCCAAGACTATACAGAGAGCCTCTGTCAGAAGAAGGATTTATTTAATCCATAGCTCTTTAGATTTTAAACAAGAATGACTTTGATCGGCTTGACAATAGTTTGTTGTCTGTTGTTTTGCTATTTGCAGGGCTTTTTTTAATGTCTTGCATTATTTCTGTGAATTACTAATGGCTATTATCAGCCTCATGTCATGCCTTGATGCCAAGGAATGAGAACAGGTACAGCAGGGGTGCATCTACTGTGCAGAATTAATACAGCTTTACACCATATTAACTATCATTGGTCAATGGATTCTGAGATTTGTAGTTTGGTGAAGCACAAGCCAAAAAAATTCTAAAGACCTTGTAAAACTGCAATTCCCATGATTCCATAGCATTGAGCCATGGTAGTTAAAGTGATGTCAAACTGCATTCATTCTACAGTTCAGATACCCCCTGGGACACTTGGCATCTCTGTTTATTTGGCATTATGGTGATTTCACAGGAGGAAGGCCTTTAAAAAACAATAATGGCCATATATAATCCTACTCATAACGTTGGGATGTAGTTCATAATCATTCATAAATATCTGAAGTCCAACAGTTTCCCTTTCTCTGAGCTATATGGTGATAATGTTTTCTATGGAAGAATATTCAACATTGTGTTCTCCATTTTGTACCACTTTATCCATATAGATGTACTTATTCCCTATATGTTTTCTGTTGGCATTTGTTCTGAAAACAGAGAATGGTTTAATGGATATTTCCCTATGAAATAAACCCTCAAATTTAAGTACAGATTGCACATCCGTCATCTGGAATTTTTAAATTGACTCAGAAGGTGACTGAGATAGTCACTTTTGCTCTCTGAAGGTTCGGTGTGCACTAACTTTATTTTATGAGGAAAATTATTTAGAAATATTTTATATAAAATTCCCTTCATATATCTTCTCATATATATATGTTTAGACTTGATTCCCATCTCCAGCATATCTCATTATGCACATATTTGGAAATATGGGTATTGTAAAGTCTGAAAAAGAAACTAAATCCAAAACACTTCCTTCAGATAAAGAATACCCAATTTGTATAGTTGTTTTTGTGTAAGGAGAGTTCTCAAGTGGAGGAGGAGGCATTTTGGTTTACCTCCCTCCCTAGCATGGGTTTTTGTTTCTGTAAATGACATGTGTCCCCATAGAGGTGCTCAAGGAAGAAAGTTGCAAGGAGTTGAAAATGAGTTCAAATACTTGAAAATGAGTTCAAATAAAATAGAAAAACAGCTCAGTCTTATCTTTTCCCCCACCTTAAAGAACAGAAGTTAAGGAAACCTCACTGATAGCTTCATATCCTAGGATTAGAATATGAAGCTATCAGTCACCCAAGGCTATTCCTTTCCCTACATTTCCCCTACAACCTGAGAATGTTTTCACAGAAACAACATTTAGCATTTTCTGTTTACTTCTCCCTGCACAAATCAGCAGGGAGATAAGGCTTCCAAAGTCATTTCGGACTTTGGGCTTCATCTGAATCCAGTGCATACCTGAACAGCAGGTGATTTTATCTGTTTCCCCTCTTGGCATGAACCCAGTGAAAATTTGGAAGTCTTTCCTTATTCTTCAGGAGGCAAGACTCGTATTGGTACTTATTTTGCCTTAGGAAGTTTTATGAAAGCTAGCTTATAACATGTATTTATGTATGTGATAAATACCTAGGGAGAGAGAAGGAGTGTCTGAGATATACTCATAGCTTCAGCTTGTAATGCCAAATTCATGTGGTTAGCTGAATTCAGGCTGTCCATCAATGGCACTACTGTACAATTGCCACTAAGTGAGATGAACTCTGGAAGAGGTCAAGATGTGAAATTTTATTCCATAGTAAACAATGGAAAGATATTTCCATTGTTTCCAACACACATCGAGTTACTCTCAAATACATCAAACCCATACATTCTGTATCATGAGATCTGCATGATGCAAACTGATCCTCATCCCTCAAACTTCTGGTCTTCAGCTGTTATGGTCATATGAATTGGCACATGTTCCAACAGTCAGAGTCACATGAACAAGCTGTATTACTATCTTAGAAATGGACAGAGATATAGAGAGAAAGAGGAAGGTAGAGAACAACAGCAGAAACATTAGCCCCAGCAGCAATAACAAAAGCAACAAACAGAGAAAAATGGAGGGAAGCAGGAAAGAACTATCGAGATTTAGAGATTACAAGCAAAAAGCTGGATGGATGAATCTGAAAAGTAAAAAAAAACAAAACAAACCCAAAACAATGAATTCCATGTTGCACCTTCAAGTCAAAGGTGGAAGTTAGGTCTGGAAATGTTGTATTCCCCAAATGATTCTTTTCTGAGTTCATAGTATCTTGCATACAAAAAGATCTAGTAGGAATTCCAGTGTTTAAATTAATGGTCCACTAATACATTCTTCTTTTTGCCAGCTAAATGGAAGAAGCCTTTCAATCCCAAGTACACTGAAATGCAGAACTTCTATATAGATGGCTACAATGTAGTGAAAGTGCCTACGATGTTCCAGATGGGCATGTTTGAAGCTGGCCGTGACGATGAGCGTTCTTGCACTGTTTTGAAAATGCCCTATGAAGGGCATGCTGCTGCATATTTTATTCTACCTGACAAAGGGCAACTGGACAAGGTGGCCAGAAGCTTATCATGTGGAGCTTTGAGGGCATGGAAAAAAATACTTACAAAGAGGTAATTGTCTTCAGGTTTGGACTTTGGTGCTAAGGGATTTTGTTTGAAGGTTAAAATGGCAATGTTTTGAAGACAAGGTTTTTGTAAGATTAGGAAAACTGATACCATACCTATTATGTGATACAAATTATTGTGTGTGGGCTTCTTTTTTTTAAAAAAAAATCATACCAAGATTATTTGTTTTTCTGTTCTTGCATATTAATATGGGAGTTTACACTATTGAATATATTAGGTCTTGATTCTGAATAGATATATACAGGCAGAGGCTGCCCTAGGTAATTTTCAACGGTAAGCAAACAGTATTTTGGCGCCCCCCCCCCTCCAAACCAATCAGTGATATATATTTTCTGTCCGTCGTGGGAGTTCTGTGTGCCATATTTGGTTCAATTCCATCATTGGTGGAGTTCAGAATGCTCTTTGATTGTAGGTGAACTATACATCCCAGTAACTACACTTGCCGCACTTGCTCCCTTGCCTGGCCCGCTTTGGGTCTGGAGGTGTGTCTGAAGACCCCGGTGTGTGCACCAAAAGTCACCTCATCTCCTGACTTTCTCTGGCCAGGTGGAGCAGGAACGAGAGGGGCTAGGTGAGGCTCAAGGGCCCGGCCCCTTTGGGAAGAGGATCGCCCGGCAGCGAGGCAAGAAAGCCGAGGCTCCCCCCCCCCAGACTGCTAGGGTGTTGTGAGCTGAGGGGGAGCTTCTCAAGTGGCGGTCGAGGGGCATTTACAGAGGCGCCTCTGCGCCCCTGGCAAAAAAAAGTGTTCTGCGACCGCTTACTTCGCGTAATGGACGAGCCGCCCCTGTATACAGGATTGCTCTGCTGGGCAAAGTGTGAGGCAAACATAATATTCTGCTCATAACAACTAACTGAGAAGACTTCCCTGAAGGAGCATTACAGTACCTTCCGTTCTGAAATTTAACAAGCCTTTTATTGCAAATCATTAACCTTTCAGAAAGTACAAAACAAAATGATCTTGGATCGGACTAAAAGCTAATGTAATTCAGCAGTCTGATCACAGAAGGTTTGGAAGCTGCGTTGTACTACTGAATTAATCTGTCGGTCTGCCTAGCCAAGGTGGAAAATCTGAGGCTCTTCAACTTTTTTTCAGTCTTTCACTTCCATCATCCTGGATCATGGGCCATACTTTTGTTGTATTCCACCAAAAAAACTTGAAAGTCCAACAAAATCTGGATGTCCACATGTTTCCAAACCACTGTCCAATAATGACTGACACCCGACAGCATCTCCCTACAGTTTTATTTGGGAGTCTTTCCTGAGCTTATCTGCATCACTCTCAGAAGAAAAGAAATTTATGTGGAACTGTTATGTTGCTTGTGTGGAATATCCTTCCTTTTTTTCTTTACTAGAGATTTGAAATGCAGGAGAACATACCAAAATACAATGATTCTTTGTAATCTAAAAGAGGGGCAATCCATTTTATCACTTCATTCTGGTGTTCAAGAAGATCAATGTATCCACAGGGGATATATTGCAAGATCACCTGTGGTTACCTAAAAACATGGATAATAACAAACCCTATATTTTGACTATACCTGGGCCTGAAGGATGTGATAAAACTGCATAGAAGGACCTAGAGAGGCTCTCAAACATTTCCAAGCAAAGGGAGATTTTTTTGGAGGATGGGTAAGTAAAACTGTGGTTATTGAATATGTGAATAAGGGGATCATAATGTATAACAAGCTTGGATTGCATCAGTTTTCACATGTAGTCGACAACTCCTTATTTCTCTTCTGTTTTATTACTGAATAGCTCTGTCAATGTGTATCTTCCAAAGTGCATGGCTATTGGAGAACTTCACTTGAAAGATATAATGTACACTATGGGTGTGGTGGATGTCTTCACTGACAAAGCAGATCTTTCTGGAATCACAGGGCAACCACGGCACAGACTCTCAGAGGTAAATTGACAGTATTTTACCCACTTCATATAAGAATGGAAATTTGTCTGTTTATGTATTTGCTTACTTAATTTTTATCCCACCTTTCTCACAATATAAGGACTTATGTCATCCAACAGCAAACATAATGATGATTATGATGATGATAAACTTTATTTATATCACACCCCTTTTCCACAGAATAAAGTAATGTACACACATAAGCAGAAACCAAAAAGACAAGACATTGTATATAACCAATAATTATAAACAACAAATTAAAAAATGATATCACAATAAATAAATACACAGGTTAAAAACTGTACTGGGTTTAAAAACATATTGCACCATTGAGGCAAAACCAGTTTTAAACCAATAGGTATTGATGACAAGGCTAAAAGACCACTATCATAACGAAGACTAATCAACCATTTTCGAAAGCCAGTTTCCACATCAAGGTTTTTAGTTCTTTCCTGAAGTTCACTAGAGAGGATGTCTGATTGATTTCTTTAGGGAGAGCATTCCAAAGCTGAGGGGCCACCACCAAGAAGGTCCTTTCTCTCATTCTCACAAGCCGTATTTGTGAGGGTGGTGGGGCTGTGACAAGCCCCGCCCCCCTCAAGGAGCTTTAGACTCGTGTTGGTTCATAGAGGGAGATGTGGTCACGTAAATATGCTGGACCCGAACTGTAACATGACACAATTACAAATTAAAAACAGAGCAAATGCATCAAAACATAAACATCAAAGTTAAATAAATTACATCAAGATTTCTTTCTGCACCGATAAGAACGTCTTTAGAATAAATATACATTTGTAAATATACATCTCTATATTGCTGTTCTCTGAGACTCCACATAGACAATTCTGACAGTTGTACTCTGCAAAACCTTTCAAAGCTGTAGCAATTCCCATGTGGTGGTGTACAATAGTGCACCATTTCCAGCCCCCATCATTTTTGCTCTGATTAATCCTTCGGTTTCATTTCAGAGATTTGTCTTAAATTATTCCCTCACTGCAATTCAGATGAGCCCCAAATGATCTAAAGGAATTCTAATTTTCTCATACTTACTGGAAACACAAAAGTTCAATGATGGCAAGAGTAGAACAAAAACCTGTGAGGGAATTAAGTCCTCTTTTCTCCATTCACCTTCCAACCCATGACATGATGATTACCAATGCCCACTGCAGGAGCACAGCTACTTCATTCATACTAAACAGGATTTAAGAAAGGATATTAATACTCTAATTTGCATGTTGGGTACAGTAAAAACATAGTGGCAGCTGATCAGTGGTGTTGCTGGCAGAAGCAACAGTAAAAACAGACTACTCACACAACAGCAAGTGATTTTTCAATGCCTCACTGCATAGGAGGTGTATTTACATATACAACAACTTGAGCTTACTTTAACTGTGAAGCTACATCATTCTGAATTCTGGAATTTGTAATAGGATGAGGGACTTAAACATTTCTGCTAGAGGACCCTAGGTGTTTTTTTTTCCCCATGTCAGGCACGACTTGAGAAACTGCATGTAGCTTCTGATGTGAGAAAATTGGCTGTCTGCAAGGATGTTGCCCAGGGGATGCCCAGTTATTTTGACATTTTACCATTCTTGTGGGAGGCTTCTCTCATGTCCCTGCATGGGGAGCTAGAGCTGACAGCAGGAGCTCACCCGTGCTCACCCCATCTTTGAACCTTTGAGCTATCGGTCTTCAGTCCTGCCGGCATTGTGCCACTGGGGGCTCCTAGTGCTGTGGTAAAAGGAAGTATGTTAGGATGGAGCCACAGCAGTTAGAGTGATACCAAACAGCCACAATTGTATAATGAAAATGTGCCAAGCTATTTCAGAGTTTTATAAAAAAAATTGATTTTGAGATGCTATTTAAGATCCTGAAATCTGTCCTCAATACTGATCAACACCTTGGACATCTTAAAAAGTCCACACAGACTCATAGAGACAATAGAAACATGGAACTTTATTGTAGGAGGGAAGCAAACTGTGATTATTACATAATGTAATGCGCATCCTGTTGCCTGTCAAACTCAACCCTATAATAAATCCATCCCCAAGGAAAAGCCATCTATAGCCACAGAATGCACCATATTCCTATAATTTATCACATACTAAAGTGATATCAGGGGGTGAGATTCACCTCCTCTTCCAATCTCTCCCCTCTCTATCACTTTATTTTAATTTTTATTTGAGATTTTTAAAAATAACCTTAACCAGAATTACAATATTGCTTTAAAAATATTTTAAAAACTATGGAGAGGTAGAAGTGAAGGAGAGCAGGGTGTAATCTTTATTTGGCATTACCATTATGGGGTCATGAATCAGTGAATCAGAGCAATTGTATGAATACAGAGAGGTGTGACCGTGAGGGTGATAATCCTGGTATGTTGCCACAATTGATGATCACACAACTGCCATAGAACAGCGGCTTCATACGATAAGGTCCAGACAGGTGGGAGAAACCAGAAGGCTCTACAATCTAACCCACTGTCATGAAGGAATACATCAAAGCACTCCTGACAGTTGGCTGTCCAATCCTGGATCAAAGTTACCACATGCCTGACATGAAAGCCACCAGCTCCAAAGGAATTGTGGAATAGTGTTGCCTTGATAGAATCTTAGAGATGAATTTGTGAAATGCATAGAAAACAAGTGATATAATCAGACTTATTTGTAAGACATTCATTAACAGTCTGGAAGAATGTACTGAAGTCTTACCTATCCATTGACAGGTCTTATCTATTCACAATTTTTGTTTCTGTTTCTTCTTTAGGCCATTCATAAAGCAATGATGTTGATAGATGAGAGAGGAACAGAAGCTGCTGCAGCATCCTCCATGGACCTGGTACCAATGTCTACACCTTCTGTTCTGAAGTTTAACATGCCTTTCATAGTTATGGTTGTCGAAGAAAATACTGAGAGTATCCTCTTCATGGCAACAATTATGAATCCAAATGAGAACTAGAGAGCCCAAATCCACCTAATGATTATTATTTGGCATGTATTTAAGAAACATGTTGACTTATTCTAGACTGAGTTTCCTATTGTCCCCTCAGTTGTGTGGAAGTATTCAATTAACTAGGGAGAGAAAGGAAGACATTTGATCCATATAAAGTCAGAATTTGAATGCTTCTCACAGTACCGTACTACATAATAGCTGAAAGATTATATTGTCAACCTATTTATGTGGATTTAAAGTGGAATCCTGTTGGTGAACTGTGCTAGCAATTGCGTCTTTACCAGAGTCACACAGTGGCCATGAGAAGACAGCATCCAGTTGTTTCTCCTGTACTCTACTTCCTTCAAAGCTCCACTGCTTGCATCAATGTACTTCTTGCTGTCAGCAGCTTTGCCAAAGTAGTTACACCAGTGTAGTTCACCAACAGGATTCCAGCTTGAGTATACAGGTTGAACAGCCAAACTTGCATGATTCGCTTCCAAGCCAAATTTTATTGGCTGCTGCTCAAACTGCTTTCTTCTCCTATACCAAGGCAGGGTCTGAAAAAGCATTTTCAAACAGTAGCCTTTTCTCCATGGGAGGCAACTAGAGATTCATCTTCTGGCCATTCTGCTAGAAGCAGTCCTTATCTTTTTCCCTGTGGGTTGGAGTGGGAGGGGGGAAGAGAACTAAGTACAAATATAAGCAAAATAGTTAGAGACAGAAAAATGCTTTCAATAGGAGAGATGCCTTTTCTACCCACTGGAAAATTACAAAGATTCATTATCATACTTTATAAATTTAAATTACAGTTACCACATAGATTTTATATGCTCACAGACTGCTCTAGAAGGCCTGTGTGATTTGTGGCAGTACCAGCAGCCCTTGAATGGTATATAGCTCAGTCTCAGCCACGTGGCATGCTTGTACCATGTACCAATCTTTCCTAATCTAAAATTATCAATGTGAGATTTAAAGAAACCTCACAAGTCTTTGGCCAATATGGGAGTGATGTAAGATATAGTTAATCATAGGTGGGAAATTCAGGCTGAGAAAAGTATTTGTTTTCCAGCATGATGAATCACAAATTGTACAGGCATGAGTTGCACTACATTTCTCCCATTGGTTACCCACATCTCCTTATAATGCAGCAAATACCCCATAAAGGAATATTATAGAGCAGCGTTTCCTGCCCTAAGAAGCCCCTTTCTTACCTAGGAGATGTTTTACATTTAATAGTCTTGCAAATAATACCAAAAATACAGAAATAAACTGATAACGAGGATATCATTTTAACATACAACTGTAGAGTTAGAGGCCTGTTTATACTGGCAGTTCAATCTGGGGCCACTCTATAGTATTTATGCTTTCAGCAAGCCCTAGAGGCAACCAGATGCATACAGTCAAACTCACTGTGGTATTGCTTTGGTGTCCACAAGTCCATCCAGGCCAAAGTTGATACGCTACTTTCTTGCGACCATTTCCAGCCAGACATATAGCTCTGTAATAACTCCCGGCTATTGTGGATTTTTTGTTTTGATATCAACAGTTTCCTGTGTTACTAACAGAAAGCTAAACACTGACTCCCCTTCCTTTTTCTTGGTCATACAAGACACCTCTGTTAATGTCAAAATGAGGTGGCCATGATGTTCCAGGAGCTTTCAAAGCTGGGACTTTGGCTGGGAGTGGCAGTGGTAATGGCACGAACTGATGAGCAAAGACAGAGGACTGGTCCAATTTGGAACCAGATTTCCCCAAAGCTGCAGTATACAGGAGTTTCCAGTAAACCCCAGGATATCACCGACTTTGCTCAAAGTAAAGCAAAGTCTGTTTTATCCTGTAAAATCCAAGAGTCACCAGAAGTTGGAAATCATCATGGGAACGGCAAGAAATGACTTTAAGAGTGAAGCATACATGTAGATTCTACTTTCTACTTGAGATTCTATTTTTCATAACATGGATACTGGAGCTCTGGCATAATGGAGCTTCAGCTGCCTTTTGCTTATTTCTTTCTGTAATCTTATCTTTTAGCTGTGTTTAAGGTTTAAAAGCAAATACACAAAAAGCCATTCGTTTTAGTGCAGAATGAGCAAGTGGACTGTGTGGTATAACAGTCGCGAAACAGTTCATTTATTCACCAACAGCTCTTTGGTACTTATTGGCTCAGAGTGGATCTCAGGCTTGGTGTTAGGTGAAATTATGGTGAACAACTTTGGTAAACCACTGCTATTCAGAAGAATGAGAATTGTGCACACAGCCAAATGTTCTATCAGGAAATAAGAAGCCCTATATTCATGTTTTCCCACTTTCACAAGGATCCTGAACGCCGTGACACTCACAAAAAATGCGGGCATACTGTCATCACTGTTCACCAGCACCTGATGAATCATAGGTTAATGACACAATATCATACAAGCTTTACAAGTTCAATGCTTCCTACTTTCAATCAAAAAGATCGTTCAGAATAGGAAAAACTCAGAATAAGACTCAAAAGAGCAAATAATACAGATCTAGATAGATCATTGGTTAGATATGGCATTCATCACTTTCAGATGGATCAGGTCTGCGCAATAGAAAGAGTGTTACATGGATTAAAGTTCTGAGTTCAGACAATCTTATACAATCACATTCTAACAAATTTTATGGCTCCTAAATGTGCAAGATTATGACTTTCCTGAAAATGTGGGAAAGGAATTATGGAGCTTTTTATTACCCACTGGTTGCACTTGAGCAAGCCAGACTCTCTCAGCTTAAGAGGAAGGCAATGGGAAACCTTGTTGTTGCTGGGTGCCTTCAACTCTAGGGAGAATAAATCTTTGGCAGAATTTGCTTAGAAGGGGTTTGTGTTACCTCAGTCAGAGGTTGATAGGGTTTGTTTTGCCTAAAGTCACTTACTGGGTTTCCATGAATGAGCAAGGATTCCAGCCCTAGTCCAACGCCCAAACCATTACATAATGCTGGAAAGCAGGAAAACCTGTTCTGAACAAATCTTGCCAAGAAAAATAGGTTTGGCATCAGTTTGAATCTACTTAAGGACAGCAATAGCATCAATCCCCTAAAGGCACCAGATCTGTCTGATTTTGGGAACTAAGTAGGATCAGCCCTGCTTGGGACTTGGATGGATGACTGCCAAGAAATACTAAGTAGCATAAGACATATTTCAGAGACAGAAACTGGCAAAACCAAATCTTAGTTTCCCTTGCTTAAGAAACCTTATGAAATTCATGAGGTCACCATAAGTCGATATGCAAATAGAAGGCTCACTCACACACAAGAACTACAATTGCTATTGCAAGAGCATAATATTAGCTTCTGGTAGCTCTGAAATTGAGTTCTTGATCTAAGATATTTTATTGTTTGGATTTTCTAACCTACCATATATTTTCTTTCCTCTTTTAAGATGCAAACAGCTTAGCTGCTTTGGTGATAGTTTATTTTTTGTATAACTGGTGATAGTATAAGTGGAAACAAAATTAAGTTACATTTTCTCTATGACTAGGAATTTATATTATGATAAACATTCTTTGTCTTGAAAAAAAATACAAATGAAAATAAAAAATAATTAAAACTCAAATAAAATCAGATGTCTCTTTTCTCATTTTTTTTGCAACAAATGTATAATTGCTTAAGCATCCCTGTATCATTGTATTGGAAGGAATGGCATATAACATAATATAAAACACACAACATGGAAATGATGATGATGATAATGACGACGAAAAAGAAGAAGAAGAAAGAAAGAAAGAAAGAAAGAAAGAAGAAGTTATAATAATTGAAATAGTTATTTTAGTTAATCTCCGATGAGAATTTCTCTCTGTTTGGTTAGCTAAATATGCTTGGACACAGGTTACAACAAACCATAAGTCTGAGTTTTAGGAAGAAAAGACTAGCCTTTGAAGACTGCACACTTGAGTCTGGAAATTTACCCCAACATTAACTCTGTTGTGCAGTTATTAAGGCAGTCTTCAAAATATAAACCATTAAACTATTCTCAAGGTAGTAGAGGATGATCACTAATTGTTTCCTAACACAAGGTGGCACCATAGCTTACTTAAAATATGTTTATTTCCTGAATTTTTCCTCTTTTTCAAATACTTGAAATGAAATATTGTTTTGCACATGCACCCATGATGTATTATGAGGGTGCATGTGCAAAACATATACAGCCACATATTTCAAACTTTGCAAACTTTACAAGAATATAAACTGAAAGCCTATGAACAGATGTGAGAAAACAGTATAATTCAGTATGTGGTCAGCAAAGAATACATTCAAAGGGTCAGAAAAATTCTCAAAATCAAGCTCAATGGAGGCAGTACCATCAATGCCATAAGCACCTGGGCCATACCTGTCATAAGATATACTGCTGGCATCATAAACTGGATGCAGGCAGAACAATTTTGGTGTTGTTTTTTTAGCCCAACAATGCCTCCTAGATGGTTTGAGGGCAATTTCACCATATTTCTTCATCTCCCAATTATTCTGTGCAAAACCACAATTTTCATTCAAAGCATGTGAAACATCACTGAGTTGTGGGACTGTCTCAAAGAAAAAGTGTCTAAACTGATGCAACCTGGTGAAACCTAGAAGGATGTTAGAATGAAGTAGAGCAGGTTGATTGTGGCAATTGCAGTTTTTCTGAGCAGATAAAATCTTCTGGGACTTTTTGGTGTGACAAATGTGCTTCTCTTATCAAGGGGCAATGCAATGCATTCGCATAAAATCAGAGGAGCTTGAGAAACCTGTTTGCTGTGGCAATTTCAAATGTCAAATTTTCTCCTGTATTTCCTGTAGATAAAATCTACGCTGACCATGATGTCATTGGATATAAATCTTTTTAGGTTTTTTAAAAAAGGATGAGGGGATGTATTCAATCTGACATTGAACTTCACTTTTTTAGCCTGTATTTCTCAACACAGGGCTCTGTTCACCAAAGCACTGAATGATGTGTACCACACTCTACATAATCAAACAAGGGACCTCTTCACACAGGCTTTATTTTGGTGGTTGTGGCAGCAGGTGTTCATTAGTTCTGCCATGGAGCCAAAATGCTCACATCACATAATGCAAAAAGACTTCTGGGGTGGCTCCATGGCTGAACTGCCACAAAAAACCTGCAAAAAATTTGCGGTAATGGTTGACTAGAGGCTCCCTGTTTTTCCATTAAGAAATATGGGTTGAGCTGGCTTACCAAGGCTTTCCCCCATGTGATGTGGTGGGGTGGGGGGGGGGGGAAGCTGAGACATGCAGGGTGTGCTATAATAGGTGGGTGCTGCCCTAGGTGGGTGCTGCCATGATCGCCGCAATCCCAGCGTCGCACGTGAAGAAGTCCAAGGAAGGCTCACTTGTTAGATAAACTGATCAGATGTGTTCACCAGATCTCTGTTTGGGAACCATCCCCAGGATGAGAGACCATGTAATTGGACACAGAGAATACCAAAAAGGGCCCAGCAATCTGAACCATAGCCATCTTTTTGGTCACCTTGCTTAAGATACACCCAATTGTTTTATCAAAGTGTATTCACTGTGAAACAGGGATGTTGAGATCATACTCAAAACCTCACCTTAGGTGCTTCCTGTTGGACTATAATTTAAACAAACTGTAGGAGAAATTTAACAGTGTACTCCTGCTGTTTTCCCACACACAACCCCCCCCCCCAAATCCATAATTTTTACCTTCAAATACCCCCCCCCCCCCACACACACACACACACAGACATACACACATGCACACACCTTTAGTTATTTTTGCCATGTTCTGGGGCTGTATTGGGCCATTTTAGCTCTTGAAAAAGACATTTTGGTCCTCCTGGAGTCCTTATGGACCACAAAAACCACCTTGCAGGGTTGCATGTGGCTGTGGACCACATTTTGCCCATCTCTGAGTGATTATTATCACTGAAAAACCAGCTTATTCACACCAGTTTTCTATTTCAGACCATCACCATCACTTCCCAACCAGACCTAAACAAGCTAGCCCAAGACAGCAAGCTCAAAAGACCAAAACAAGCTGCAACTAGCAGGCTTCTGTTCCTCAGAAACTAAACTAGGTCAAAATCACACTTATCATCTTAGCAGATTTCATCCTCAGTAGGTCTCAATAATGCCAAGGGCAAATCTGGGGCTGGTGGCTAAATGCTACTGGACAGTCACCCTTATTATCTTCTGCTGTTGTCCATGTTGAGGTGGTTTCCAGTCACAACTTGAGTCCTAGCTGTCACTTGTATTGACATCATCTGAAGTGATGAGGGGGGCAAGGGAGGGGGAAGTGGGGGAGAAAAATCTCCCCTCTAATCGCCCTCATTTTCCTAATCTTCCCATTGCCCCTTTCCCCTGGCCTACATCACTGCAGCTGACAGCCGACAGGTAGGACCTGTGTCTCAACTGGAGACTACTGCAGCATGGAGAGCAGAAGATTGGTAACAGCCATCCCATATCCTCAGGCTGCAAAACATGAGTGAGATTGAGAACCCATAAATCAGGCCATTTATATTCCAGGACCAACATTCTTCAACTTTTGTTAATGCAGGAAATTGCCATGTTAAGGTGGCCTTGCCCTGCATTAGCCCAGACCAGCTCTACACAGCATTTGGCTGCAATGGTGCTAATCCAGGGCTCATCTGGCCTAAGTGGTCAGTGTGGATGTGTCCCAAGACTACTTCAAAGCAAACTGAAATGGGGCAGGAGCGAAGTGGAAATCTGTATAACAAAATGATATGAAGTGATGAAACCTTGTAAAAGCCTAAATGGGAAAATGGAATCATACCAGTTGATTGTATCAGTTCCCGGTTTCTATAATGCAAGGGCAACACAAATTACGATAAGGGCACTTTGAAATAAGATTACTTCCCTTTACAAAAGTATTTCAGGATATTACAGAATAGGATTGGCCATTTGGGAAACCAACTAAATGCAACCAAGGATTGGCATGAGGACTTCTTTCTATAAAAGCCCAGTTTCTCGGTGAGAGACATCACTCTCCAAAGTGTTTGCAGTGCTGTGCATCACTGGTTCAGCATTACTTTGTGCATCTTGTTGAAGGAGCAGCAAGCTCAGTCTTGTCTGTCTCTTACTTCAGTGTCCAAGTCATCTTCATTGCATTCTACTGGACTGAATAACAATCTGACAAAACCAAGGTGAGCAAAGTATAAGTCTGGAATTGTATGTGTTCTTTCTAACTAGTATATTCTACTGACAAAGACGTTAAATTTTTATTTTGAAAAATGTTGTGGGTCTGTTTTATTCTTGAGCATCATAATCTAAAAAGAGCTATGAAGGCCATTATTTCCTATATGTTGGGGCATTCCTGAGATAAGGAAATCTTTATCTCCCAAGGAAAAACTACAGGTCATCTTGAGATCATCCACACTGCAGAATTATGGCAGTTTGATACCATTTTAATTGCCATGGATTTTTTGCTGGTGCACCAGAGTTCTCTGAGAGAGGAGACTGAAGAGCTCATAGAATTTCACATCCCATAACTGAGTCATGCGTAATGTGTTGTTAGGTTGCAATAAATCTGAATTGATGCAGCATGTATTTAAATACCATTACAGATTGGTATAAATTCAAAGCAGGAATAATAAAAGTTATTGCCAAGGCCAATTAACTGGTTCATAGAAGATCTGCCTCATGAGCTCAAAACTGCTTAATAAGACAGATTTACAATACTTATTTTATCTGTTTGCAACAAAACATGCTAATGAACCTGTTGGTTCTTCAGCAATGCGGTTTTTGCTATTTTTCAGGCTCATATAAAAGAAAAAGTGATGTAAGTAGAACAAGGTCCCAATAAGAACTATTCATTGATAGAGATGTTTTGGAATTGCATTAATTTTATTGGTTATTTTGAACATATAAATTTGTTATTTCCAGATCAAGCAAGCAAGTAGTTGGCTATTTAAATTTCATACATTTCCAAACTTCTGCTCTCAAAAAATTGAAATTTTGTATTAATGGCTACACAAAATGTGCATTTTTCACAATGTGCAGAAAAATCCCACATTCATTAGAAAATAGCTTTCAAATGCACCCAAAATATTAGAAAATGCAGAAAAAGATATACAGTATGACCTCTCCCCATCCCCATCTATGGTGATTAAATGAAACCACAGCTGTAGTTTTACAAGGTCTTTATCTTTCTCTGCCATAGAGTGTTGGTGCCTTACCAACTACAAATCACAAGATTCCATAGCATTGAAGGATGACATTTAAAGTTGTGCCAAACTGCATTAATTCTATAGTGTGAATGCACTCCCAGTCTTAGGACCTCATCCCATTAAGGATGGGGTTCACCACACATCGTGGCAAATCCAGAGGGGCCTGGTATGTTGCATGGGCAACTTGTCACCCCGCACCCTCAATTGTCTATCTTGTCCCTCACCCCATCCCATGGAGGAGTAAGTATCGGCTGCCCAACTCCTCTCCCCCATTATTGCCTATGCAACAATGAAGCCTCCTGTGTTGCTGCTGCAGCAGCTTACCATGCTTTCACTTCACTTGCACCACAGAGCCCTGCCAGAAGTAGATTGACATTGTGGGGTGGGAGATGATGAGCTCCATGCCACAAGTGAAGTGAAAGTGTCATACTGTTGAGGCCTTTATTGAGATGTTGCCAGTGCCTGGATTATTATGGCTGTTATAACAATGTCATATTTTACATGTTTTCATCCACAGTGAAACCACATACAAGTTTTTGAGATATGAGCCATAGCTTGGTGAATTTTTTGCTTTGACATGTGTGCCAAAATTTGAGTTAAGAGCTAGCGCATGGGGACACCACCCACCATCTTAAGTAGGGCCTTAAGGGAGTGGCCAGGAAAGTTCCTTGCTCTTGTCCTTGCTGTTATTTCTCCAATCCCAGGGCTTTGGGACATTGTAGGTAATATGAGGGGTCAGGAGCCTAGAACCAGCAAACTTTTATCCTGATTAAATAGGCAAGTTACACAGATATCTGTCATTCTAATTGCAGAAGAATTTTACCCACTCATATTGGCTCATAGCTTTCCAATCTGGCCCCCTCTTCCAATCCCGAGAGATCTTTCCTTCCCTGAGAATAAATCATGAAGTCAAGACATTGAAACAACTGCCTGTTGGGATTCAAGCGCATTCCTTCAAGCTTATTATTATAGTGGCACACAAGTAGCACAACATCAGCTGATAGATACTAGAATTTACTTTGGAGCATTTAAAGCAGAGAGAAACAGTTCTAGTCAATATAAGGTCAATAAAGAAATATGTCTTTACATTCTCTTTTCTTTGTATTATTTTTATACATTGTTTGTTATTTATAAAGTACATTTTTCTTATTTAAAACATGTAACAAAAATTTAATGGTGTGCTTTTGGGGGAGCTGGAATGGATTAATAGCATTTCAATTCATGTCAATAGAGAAATCTGATTTGACATAAGAGTGATTTGAGTTAAGAGCTTGAGTGTCTCACATTAACCCAGCTTGTACCTTATATCATGGGATTGTGCAATATTTTTCCTTCTTTACAGATTTCTTTCCAGGGAGCAATATGTCTGATTTCAGTCTATGGCTGATTTTTGCTGGGCTCCTGGCTGTTGGCAGCTGTGGTGTCATGGAACATAAACCACCCAAGACTTCCCCCTCACTGAAAATAGCACCGAGCAATGCAGATTTTGCTTTTAAATTCTACCACCAGCTTGCTTCAGAGGCTGCCAATAAGAATATTGTTTTTTCTCCTATGAGCATCTCCATTGCCTTTGCTTTGCTGTCACTGGGGGCTAAAGGAAACACTCTCAGCCAGCTTTTGTCAGGGCTTAGTTTTAACCCGAAGGAGATCAGCGAGCAAGAAATACACAATGGTTTTCGTCATCTTCTCCTTGCGCTAAACCGTTCTCAGGCGGAACTTGAATTGAACGTCGGGAATGCCCTCTTCACACATGATCAGTTCAAACTTCTGCAGAAGTTCTTGAAGGATGCCAAACATTTTTATCAGTCAGAGATACTTCCTACTAACTTCAAGAAGCTTAAAGAAGCAGAACAGCAAATCAATAGCTACATAGAGAAGAAAACTAATGGAAAATTAAAAGATGTAGTCAAGAATCTTGATCCATTGGCAGTGACAGTTATTGTAAACTACGTTTTCCTAAAAGGTAAGGGAAATCTCTTAATTGTTACATTGTGTTACATTGTCACCTTGCATGTCCTCATGTTAAGCTGGGCTATTGACATGGTCCTCAGGCTTAGCTGATTCCCCGAAGATCAGAATATAAACCACCCAGGATTATAATGAGGTCTCCCTCCTGTCCCAGTCAACTGTGCCTCCCTCTTGATGTGGGATGTCTTTTTCACTAATGAGAAATGGAAGTTGGACAGGTGTTTATATCCCTTAATCATTGGGCTTGAGACAGCTTTCAAAACATTTAATTCCATGCAGATTGAATATCTCTTATCCAAAATGCTTGAGACCAGAAGTGTTTTGGATTTCAGACTTTGTCAGAGTTTAAATTAACTGTTTTCCTATATCTATATAGATAAAAATGTAATGTTAGTTTGTGGGATTAACATAACCCCAAAAACCACTGGATGAATTGACACCAAATTTGGACATAATACACCTATCAGGCCAACGAGTGACCATCACTCATAAAAACAGAAAAGCACACAGAAGAGATGTAGAAAGCCAAAAAACCAAAACAAAAATACATTACAATGCATGCACAAAACCATGTATGTATGTATGTATGTATGTATGTATGTATGTATATATATATATATATATATATATATATATATATATATATATGCAAACACACACATATATACATATACACAAATATATACATACAAAACATATATACACACAAACATATATACAGGCTGGGCCACAGCAACGTGTGGCAGGGGATGACTAGTGTATACACACACATACATTTCGGAGATGGGATTCAGGTCAAAGCACAAAATTCATGTATGTTTCATATACTCCTTATCATTTTATCATTTCAGTGCAGTTTTGTGTATAAAGTAATGTTTATACACAAGCATCAAAAAGCAAAGGTATGATATCTCAGCCATGCATATTGATGATTCTGGAAAATTTTGGAATTCCTTATAAAGGATGTGTCAGAACTCAGATGCCTTAAAGAGCCAGACACAATAATGTAATCATCATCATAGTTTATTAAGTCAAAGTAAACAAGACTCAGAGACACTTCCTTCAGTGTCTCTGGCCAAAACTCCAAGTTTGTAGCAATTTGCACCTTGAAAAATGAACTTAGCAAATAAACCGGATTAAACTGGCAAAAAATCCGGATTAAACAAGAGTTCTAGCAAAATGCACCAAAATCACACAGTTCAAAGATAAAGCTTAAACAAAAAGCTGTGAAGAGAAGCCGTTGTCCAAAAGCAATCCAAAGTCGAAGAAGTCCCAGTTGAAGATACCAAAATCCAAAAAGCAGCGTCGTCGTCAGAAACAGTCCGTGGTCAAGGAAAGGGGAAAGCCGCACTTACGAGAATCCAAGCTGCTCAGCACACGAAAAACACAGCAACCTGCAGTTCCAGGACCCAAGCCCAACAAGAGAAGCAGCAGCGACAAGACCCAAGGCACGTAACCAACACTTTGCCTACTGCAAAGTTCCATTCTTTCAGTGCCTTCATTTATCCTACAACTCATCATCCGTTGATGAATGGCCCTCCGCTCTTTCCTCATTGCTGTCAGCTTTACAGCTGAGCGCCAACACCCATCCCTCCAACTCTTCCACCTCTTGTCAAGACTTAGATCTCCCCATGAATCCCTGGAATCATCAGACTGCCAACCCCCAGAAAAACCCTCATGCAACCCCCTGGATGTGGGTTGCATGCACACATTCCTGACTTCTTGCATGTGAGTCCAATCCAATGGTTCCCCTTCATCCTCACTACTCCCAGACCCATTACTTCCAGTAAAGCCCGTGAAATCCTGATCTTCAGTGGGAGAACTAAGTATGTCCTGGATCCTTTTCCTCTGACACTCTTCGTCTGACTCCTACTCTCAAGTAATCTGTTTGACACTTCTACTCGCATCTCCCTCCTTCTCCTCACACATTTCACTCTCTGAGAAACCTTCGAAGGAGTCTTTGTCTGTGGGAGACATAAGTATTTCCTGGATTCTCTTTCTTTGTTGTTCTTCTTCCAACACCTGAGCACCTCGTTTCCCTCCTCTACTACTCCCACTAGTAGTAGTAACGTTGCCAGCAGACTCTACTACAACAGGATGCTTACTCTATAGATATAAAAATGAACTAAATGGAATTCCACAGTCTATAGTATGAAAATAATTAAAAACAGTATAGTCTTAAAAGTCTGTTACAGTTCGTTTAAAAAAGATTTTCAGATTCCTGTGTTATATCTGAGCCCTGATCAGTATAGATATCTTCTGCCACTGTGTCATTGCTCTTCAGATTGGAAAGGACAATGGAATTCCTGGTATTAGCACCAGTTAAAGAAAGCAACAGGGTTTACTTTGCTCATTGCAATCTTGTAACCAGTACCTGAGTCATGTTCTCTGGTTTACAGCACAATGCACATGGCCTTTCTCTAACCAGAGATATGTGGAGTAGAAAGCTTTCACATCAGGCGTAATTTGAAAGATCACTCTGGTAGCCTTCCCCAATATTTTAAATTAATTTTATCAGAAAAAAACAGAAATAAAAAAACCAACAATATGTGTACATACATGAACACAGACAACATATCTAACAAGAATTCAATATCAAACTATACAACATACATCTCTGCTCTGATTGTATATGAAATAGTCAAACATGTATACATAAATTAATTTTAAAGGTGGATTCCTTGGTTCCCTTTTTTGGTTATTCTATTATTCTTATTCTTATTCTTATTATTTGATACACAACAAGATTAGCACACAACAAACAAGATCACTATGTTGGCTTTTGTATTGGATCACACGTCAGACACTTCCCAGGTGTCTAGGACTATATGATCTATCGGCGAATAATGTGTGCAGATCCGAGAAAGGTGGCCTTTTGCAAGTGGCTGACAGATGGTAATTTTGTCAGTGTCAATTGTGTTTAAGTGCAGGCCAAGGTCTTTAGGCACTGTACACGGTGTGCCAATCACCACTGGGACCACGTTGACTGGCTTGTGCCAGAGTTTTTGCAATTTGATCTTTGAACCCTCATATCTTGTTAGCTTTTCCAGTTGTTTCTCTTCAATCCTGCTGTTGCCTGGGATTGCAACATTTTCATTCCCAGAAATCATTTACTTCTGCTTATTTTAAAGCTAACATATGTCCTAACAGTTTATCTTTTCAAATGTATATATAAGTCTTTCCCCCTTTTACCAATTAAATGGTCATCGTATTGTCTAAGGCTTTAATGGCTGGAATCACTGGGTTGTTGTAAGTTTTCCCTGCTGTATGGCCATGTTCCAGAAGCATTCTCTCCTGACATTTCACCTGCATCTATGGCAGGCATCCCCAGGTTGTGAGGTCTTCATTATTCAAATTCACTTCTATTATGTTCAAAACCAGACAATTAAAATTCATTTTATACCTTTCCCACAATTGGAAAAGCACTTCATCAGCAATTGATTGTTTTGAAATTAGATTGGACACTTTCCTATTTCACTAAATTCATATATTTTCATCTTTCTGGAATAAAGTCCTCAGGAAGGTTTTCTAAGCAGGGTTCAGCCAAGGAAATCCTATGTACAATGTAGCACATTTGTTCATTTAAATGCTGGTCTACCTTAAATTTTGAACATCGCACGGCATTTTGAAAGTTGGAATGCTTCAAGTTTCAGATTTCGAGGTAGGAATTAACTTAGACTTTGTGTGAAATGACATGAGGATATGTTGCCAAAATAATCTTCATTCTCATATTTTTCTCTCTGTAAGCTTACTGGGAAAAACCTTTCAATTACAAGTTTACGAAGGAAGGTGACTTCTTTGTGGATGAACAAACCACTGTGAAAGTTCCTATGATGAGCAGAAACAGCTTTTTTAATGCCTACTATGACAAGGATCTGGGCTGCCAGGTGGTGCAGCTTCCATACAAGGGGAATGCTTCAGCATTATTCATTCTGCCTGACCCGGGGAAACTGAAACTCGTGGAAGATGCTCTCGGGAAAAAAATTCTATTAAAATGGGAGAAGTCACTGAGACCAGAGTAAGTAAATGTGCTGTACTGAATGAAGTGGAAAACTAACACTACTGGGACTTCCATTCCAGAAGTGGTAAAGATGGCAAAGGTTATTAATGAGGAAGAAAATGCAAGTTAAGAGAGAGTTTGCTTTTGCCTGATCCGATTGGGAAGGTTAAGCATAGTCTTACACTTCTCTGGTCTTGCTGCTGATGTTATTGAGTGGGATCTCTTTTTGCACTTTGAACTCTATTTGTAGCAATTGAAGCATACTAAGCTAAGAACAAAGGGGAAAGTGGAGGAGGAGAGAGAAACAGAGTATTGATAGGAAATGTTCCTGCCAAATCAAGACAAAATATATGGCATGGAATACTTGAAATGGAAAACCATATATAAACAAACCCAAGAGCTAAGCTGGACACAAGCCCTTGATCACAATCATATTTGGAGAACACCTTGTAGTCAAGGAGTCTCTGGTGGTGCAGCAGATTAAACCACTGAGCTGACTGAAAGGTCAGTGGTTCAAATCCAGGGAGCAGGGTGAGCTCCCGCTGTTAGCCCTAGCTTCTGCCAATATAGCAGTTCGAAAACATGCAAATGTGAGTAGATCAATAGGTATCGCTCTGGCGATACCTATTGATCTACTCACATTTGCTTGACTACGCTCAAAGTAGTCATGCCAGCCACATGACCTTGGAGGTGTGTACGGGCAACATTGGCTCTTTGGCTTAGAAATGGAGATGAGCACCACCGCCCTGAGTCGGACACAACTAGAGTTAATGTCAGGGGAAAACCTTTATCTTACTTTTGTAGAGTCTTGTGACATGGTCAACAAAAACCTACATTTCACAACATTTCATATGGAGGCAAATAGAAAGCTACTACTTTATGCATTAATTCATGACTGGGTTAAAGAAGAGCCACACAGTATCAATTTCTAACAGGCATCTGTACTGAAGCTGAAATTACAATATAATGTCAACCATTTTGTGTGTGTCCAATTGTCTGACAGGCCAAGGCAACTGTCTAGCACTTTCTCCTATCAGTAGTTAAGCTGTTTTTGCCTTGGGGGTCCAACAGCTTTTTAGCTATTTCTGACTGATCCTGGCCAAAAGAGCAGGGTGAGCTCCCATCTGTCAGCTGTTGCTCCTCATGTGGGGACATGACAGAAGCCTCCCACAGGATGGTAAACATGGTGATGTCCCTTGGGCAATGTCCTTGCAGATGGCCAATTCTCTTACACTAGAAGTGACTTGCAGTTTCTCATGTCACTCCTGACACACACAAATTTTTTTTAATGCTACCCAGGGCATCTTATCCTTATTGCCATTCCCCCAAGTCACATTTGTTTTGTTATATGAGGCGAAATGAATTTCTCTGTATGCCCCCTTTTTCTGTAGCCAAATTGTAAAATGTATTTTCTTAGAGTAGGCCCAAGCAAATGAGAACTTCCAGGTATGGATGAATTCAAACTCCCATCAGCCTTTGTCAGAAAGCTCAATGGCAAAGGATTATGTGAGTTGCAGTCCAAAGGATCTGTTGTAAGTTGCTGCAGGTTCCATGCTGGGAAAAATGCAAGCGTTTTGATATAATAAAATAAAAAGACCACATTTTTCCACCTTGGCTGGTTACTAGACTCTTGACTTATTCTCCCTTCAACAGGAAAATACATCTTACCCTACCAAAGTTTTCACTTGATGGTAGCTATGATGTTGAAAAGACATTAAGAAAATTGGGAATAAATGATGTATTTACACAGAACGCAAACCTGTCTGGAATTTCCGAAGACAGGAATCTGAAGGTTTCAAAGGTAAGCTTCTTGAAATATATCCTACTGGAAGAAGTGTAGACACATAGGTCTGCTTTGTGCCTATATTTGTAAGAACCATAGCAGCCTGCTGCACCCCCAGGCGAAGAGGAGAGCCAAGGCAGAGACATGTAACTGCCGTGAGCTCTCCAGAGAGCTCTTAGTGGCTGTGTGTCTCCCTGTTCTCTCAGCCTGGGGACTTGGTGGGCTGCTGTGTCCCCAGGCTGAGAGGAGGACTGCAAAAGGCTGCCCAGAGCTTTCTCGTGCTCACCAAGAGATGGAGGGTCTCTGGAAGTGCCGCGGAGGAGAGGGGAGGGGTGTGTGAGTGGCTTCTCCATTGGCATGTTCTGTCTGCTCTCATGCCTGCTTTTTCCTCTTCAGCCAATGCTTTTGTGCCAGTGCAAGGAGGACAAGTTGCAGCCTCAGTTTACTAGATAGATGGGGAGAGAGAAGGAGGATGATGGGAGATAGAGAGGAGCCCAAAAGACACCTCAGCCGACACAATACACCCTCAACCACAAAGCCACACCTTCCTCCACTGGCTCACTTCCTCCCTCTGTGAGCACCCCTAACATGATATTGGGCAGTGCTGCTCAGGAAGACAGACCCCCCAATCTCATCATGACAGAATGCCCCACCCTTTTCCCGCTCATTTTGATCCTTTTTTGTGTGTGTCCAATTGTCTGACCCCTTTGCCTTTCAGAGTACAAAGAGAGCAGCTACTTTTCTCATTTTCTCATTCCTCACCTCACGTTTCTGGCTGTGTTTTGCCATAGAAGGCATTCTCGATAGGTAAACCCTTCCTCTGGCCAACCTCCCACCTGGCCCGCCTCCCACCCACACCAACTATCCTTCCTGCCCCCTCCCTCTTGCCTGGCCCAGCATGTTGCCCCCATAGAAAAAAGTTTGCCCATGCCTGATATAGCTCCTCAACAACACATATCTTCATTTCTACTGATTTTTGCTTTGCACATTAAAAACACACTATGCCATTCGCACAGCTATATTTATTTATTTATTATGGCATTTGTAGAAATGAAAATATGAAGGCCTTTCTCAGCCTTATGATGACTCAAGGTGGCTCACAGAATTAGCAAGTTTGATGCCAAACATTCATAAAAATACAGTTAAAAACATTCAGCTCAGCATTATAAAAACATATATAAACCATTTAAAAACACATGGTCACCGGTGTCGTCCTGTTAAAATCATTATGATTCTATTGTAAAATAGAATCATAGAATCTCATACACTTGGGATGATTTAATGTATTTAAATTAATGTTTTTCTTTCTACCAAAGCCTAGGCAGTCCGTAAAGATTTATATTTAGGAAATAATGTCTAGGTAAACTGCCTCTGAGTATTCCTTCCTGAAGGAAATCTTACGGGATTACCATAAATTGAATAGTGACTAGAAGGCACATGTACCATTCTCTCTAAACTTCTATATATTTGTTGTATTAATGAACACATTGTTTCCCCAACTTTTAGTAATGTTTCAAGGTAAAGAAAGGAAAGTGCAAATATTTAAGAAGAATGAAGGGAAGCCTGTATTAGTACAGTTTGTGATTTTTTTTCAGTTCCCCATTTTGAACTCCAAAAAGCCACTTAAAAAATAGAGGCTGAATGGTTATCCATTGAGAATGCTTCTACTGTGCATTCCACAATGGCAGGGGGTTGGATTGAATGGCCCTTGTGGTCTTTTTCAATTTTATTATTGTGGACACATTAATCCTCCAGAATGGATGAATACACCTGTCTTGCATAATAAGTTCTGAATCACTCTTAGTTCTTAATGAATTATTGCATCTTTCCTTGCAGGCAATTCACAATGCTTACCTTAGTGTCAATGAGAATGGCACCGAAGCTGCAGCTGTCACAGTCATTGAAGTGAGTCCGCATTCCGCAACGAAAAATATTAAATATGAACGGCCCTTCATCTTTTTGATCTGTGAAGAACTGAACAAATCTATCTTCTTCATGGGACGGCTTAAAAATCCAAGCAAGAAGTAAATACACAGTGATCAGTTACATTAATGAAATTGTCACAAACAAAATAAACACTGTTATGCAAGTGTATGTGTGAAATATTGCTTTGCTTGATTGTTTTTATGGTACAAAAGTCCTAATGCAATTCTGCATCATTATTAACACCATACTGTGTGTTTACTCCAATCATTTCAGATGATGTCTCACAATAATCTCTGTCCAAACATTGTGTTTTTTAAAAGTGTCCATTTAACACAAGGTGGGATATGTGTAGTTGATTCCCGATGGGTGGGGGGATAGGTGGGGTGGATTTGTGACTCCACAAGTCTTCCAGAGATCCCTAGAGTTGTTAGACATACATTTAAAAAAAAGAATGATGAAAACTTTAAACAATAGAGAGAGAGACAGTCAGAGATCACATTCACATTGAGGCTTTAACACAGGAAGTGAGTGGAATTCTGGAAAATTCATTTAGGGTCTTTTGATTTCTCTGGCACTGGTGACCTAGAGGCAATGCAGCACCTGCATTTAAAAAGTAACTTCTCCAACTTAGAGAGGGAAAACTCAAGCCCTAAATAAATAAATAGTAGGCCTGGGCGGTTTCGTTCGTTAATTTTGTAATTCGTTAAATATTCGTTATTTTTAGCAATTACGAAATGAATACAAAACATTTTTTCAAACCCGGAAAGGTTTTTCAATAACGAAACGGCATCCTCCATCCTTTTTACGAGCTTCCGCCCGTTTCGGAAATGGGATGGAGGATGCTGGTGCCTGGGAGCCAATCCGGCGCTCCCAAGCACCCAAGCAGTGCACCGTGGCTGATTTTGATTGGCCGGGAAGCCCTTTAAAAGCGGCTCCGCGTGGCCGCACAGCTCATTTGTTGCGGAGGCGAGGGAGAAGAGAAGAGGTCCGGGAGGGCGGCTTGGATTGGCTTGGCTTGGTTGGCTAAGCTTGGATTCATTCCTTGCATTGATTCATTTGCTTTCATTTTTGCATTCCTTAATTCTGTTGTTGGGAGAGCGAGGGCGGTTTTTGTTAATTTGTTAATTTTCCATTTTTAAATATTTTTGAAAAATACCTTTCTTTTATTCTTAAAAAAAATCAAAAAATATTCTAAAAAAAGGAAAGAATCTTGTGAGCCTGTGTGTGTGTTTCCCCCTGTCTTGTGGCTGTTGGCTCCACAGCGGGGAGAGCATTTTGTTAATTTTCCATTTTTAAATATTTTTGAAAAATACCTTTCTTTTATTCTTAAAAAAAATCAAAAAATATTCTTAAAAAAGGAAAGAATCTTGTGAGCCTGTGTGTGTGTTTCCCCCTGTCTTGTGGCTGTTGGCTCCACAGCGGGGAGAGCATTTTGTTAAGTTTCCATTTTTAAATATTTTTGAAAAATACCTTTCTTTTATTCTTAAAAAAAATCAAAAAATATTCTAAAAAAAGAAAAGAATATTGTGTGCCTGTGTGTGCGTTTGTCATTTGTGTAGTTCCAACCAGTGCGCTCCTTTTGCCAACAGAAAGTGCTATAATACAGTGCTCGCTCATTATTTGTGTAGTTCCAACCAGTGCGCTCCTTTTGCCAACACAAAGTGCTATATATAATATAATACAGTGCAATTAGCACGAATAACGAAATTTCGTAAATGCCAGTGCGCTCCTTTTGCCAACACAAAGTGCTATATATAATATAATACAGTGCAATTAGCACGAATAACGAAATTTCGTAAATGCCTTTTGTGCATGCGCTAACGCGGTGCGCCATCTTAACGAATCGATTCGTTATTAACGACGCATACAAATAACGAAATTTCGTAAATGCTTTGCGCACGTGCCAACGCGGGCGCCATCTTAACGAATCGATTCGTAAATATTTACGAAATTTCGTAAATACCGAACTTTTTTAAGGGAAAATTTTGTAATTATTTTAAATATCGAAACAAAAAAACCCCCCAATTACAAATCGATTTTAGAAACAAATTTTTCCGTTGTTACCCAGGCCTAGTAGGCAATGCAGCGCCTGCATTTTAAAAATAACTTCTCCAACTTGGAGAGGGAAAAACTAAGCACTTTATTGTGGGGAGTGAGCAGAATTCTGGGAAATGTAGTTTAGGGTGGGGCCTTTTGAATTCTCTGTCACGGGCGTCCTTGCCTTCCCATACTACATTTCCCAAAGTTCTGCTGACTGCCTTGTGCCTCCTCCTCTTCCCTGAAAGTTTTAGTGGGAATAACCTGTGTTCATTCTCTGGCAGAGGACGGTTGGACTGGATGCCCTCTAGGGTCTTCCAGTTAAATAGTGCTGTTAAGTTTATGTTGGTTAAAATTCCCTAAAAATCAATGGATGTCCAAATTTTTATGAAACTTGGGGGGAATTAAGCCCTGGTTATGTTGTATCATTGAAAATAGAACTTCAAGGAGTTAGATCTTGTAGGTTTTTTTTAAGTTGTTCATAAAAAAAACTTTTTAAATTTTCCCCAAAACAGTGAATGGGTGAAATGTTGTGAAACTTGGTGATGTGGGAAATAACAGTGGCAAATGCATTCTACCATTGTGGAAGGTTTGACACCAATAGCTCTAAAAATGAAGGAGAAAAACCCTCATAAGCCCCCCCCCTTGTGCAATTTCATAATGAAAAAGTAACAAAAAATCATTACTTTGTTATAGTTATGAAAGCCTCTTAACAATATTTTAGAAATACTTTAGAAATTATTCACCGCTGCCCACTAATTTAGTAATGAGTATCAAAACATTTTTCCCATTGATCACACACTCTTAGCCCACCAAATTTCAGAACATTTCACTTTTCCATGGTTTTTTTGGGGAATTTCCAAAGTTTTTATAAATAAAATTTTCAATAATAAAGAAAATATGTTCCTAGTTTGAAAGTACTATTTTCCGTTTAATTGTGCAGTTCTTATTTTAAAAGTAGTGGTTCTACACCAGGAACTTTGTTTTTGAACCAAAGACTTTGTTAAATGAATAGATGACAGTGTTAAATTGGACTTGATAGCAACAAGTGCTATAACACGATGTCCCTCATGCAAAGTATTTGCATTTTAATAAACTTTTGCCATGGTTTTATGATATAACCAATTAGGAAATGAGTTTTATAACCTAGCATAGAAACCATTAATGCACCCCCCAACAGATGACCATCCAGCCTCTGAACAACAACAACAACAACAACAAAACTTTCTATTCTAAAAGTGTTATTTTCTCTTTCATTGTGTAGTCCTTACTTTGAAAGTAGTAGTTCTACTCCAGCAACTTTTTCTTTGTCAAAAACTTTGTTAAATGGATGGATGATGATGTTAAATTGGTGTACTGGAAATGTGTAATAACATGATGTCCCTCATGCAAAGACAAATTTTTTGAAGTTGAATAAATTTTCACCACGTTTTAATGATAGAACCAATTAGGAAATGACATTTATAATCCAGGAACAAATATCATCATTTATTGGGACTCTGGCTGGCTACAGAGGGGCAAATCTCTCTGATGTTGAGCAATGCACTACATCCTGGGGAATGTAGTTTAGGGTAGGGCTGGCCTTTTGAATTCTCTGGCATTGAGCTTCTCCCTTCCCAAACTACATTTCCCACAGTTCTGTGCTGTTCCCAGAAAACACTGCTCTCTCTTTTCCCACTCCTAATGGAAAGAAGTCATTAATTTACAGAGGAAAGGAAAGACATTAAGCTTTGTTTCCTTGCACCGAATATGAAACTAACTTTGGGAGTCCTCTGATGTTTACAAAACTAATGAAAAAGTATGGAGTAAGTTTGAATTCTTAAATTTTTGGCGTGGGTCATGCCCATGTATTGGATATTGCCTCGTAAGTATGAAATCAACAAATTTGATCTGAATTACAAGGACTAATGAAAAATGCACACCTCTAATACATACATCTTGGAGATGGGGCATTTGTTCATTTAAATGCTGGTCTACCTTAAATTTTGAATATCGCACGGCATTTTGAAAGTTGGAATGCTTCAAGTTTCAGATTTTGAGGTAGGAATTAACTTAGACTTTGTGTGAAATGACATGAGGATATGTTACCAAAATAATCTTCATTCTCGTATTTTTCTCTCTGTAAGCTTACTGGGAAAAACCTTTCAATTACAAGTTTATGAAGGAAGGCAACTTCTTTGTGAATGAAAAAACCACTGTGAAAGTTCCTATGATGAGCAGAAACAGTTTTTTTAATGCCTACTATGACAAGGATCTGGGCTGCCAGGTGGTGCAGCTTCCATACAAGGGGAATGCTTCAGCATTATTCATTCTGCCTGACCCGGGGAAACTGTAACTCATGGAAGATACCCTTGGGGAAAAAGTTCTACTAAAATGGGAGAAGTCACTGAGACCAGAGTAAGTAAATGTGCTGTACTGAATAAAATTGAAAATGAACAGCATTGGAACTTCCATTCCAAAGGTTATTAATGAGGAAGAAAATGCAAGTTAAGAGAGACTGCAGCAGTTTGTTTTTGCCTGATCCTATTGGGAAGGCCAAGATTACTCTTAAAGTTCTCTGCTCTGAGACAAAATGAATTTCTCTGTACGCCCCCTTTTTCTGTAGCTAAATTGTAAAATATATTGTCTTAGAGTAGGACTAAGCAAACGAGAATGAAGAAGAAGAAGAAGAAGAAGAAGAAGAAGAAGAAGAAGAAGAAGAAGAAGAAGAAGAAGACTTTATTTGTATTCCCCCCATCTCCCCTAGGGAGTTTAGGTATGGATGGATTCAAACTCCCATCAGCCTTTGTCAGAAAGCCCAATAGCAAAGGATTATGTGAGTTGCAGTCCAAAGGATCTGTTTTAAGTTGCCTCGGGTCCCATGCTGGGAGAAACCCAAGTGATTTGTTATAATAAAATAAAAATTAAAAGACCACATTTTTCCACCTTGCCTCAGAATGACTCATTACTACACTCTTGATTGATTCTTCCATCAACAGGATCATAGATCTCACCCTACCAAGGTTTTCACTTGATGGTAGCTATGATGTTCAGAAGATGTTAAGAAAATTGGGAATTAATGAAGTATTTACAAACAATGCAGAATTGTTTTTACAAACAATGTATTTACAAACAATGGAATCTCCAGGACA